CCATGTTTAGGAACTTCCAAATTCCCTTCTCTGATTACAATTATTTATCATTTCATCTTTTCCCTTGCCATATGACCCCTGAGCCTGTTCTGCATTCTCATTGTACTCGCCAGGCTCTCTTCCCTCAGTTCTTTCCCAGGCCATCACCCCTGGACTGGATATATACTCTCGTCCCTTCCCTATTTTGATTTCTTGGAGATTCAGTTGAAATCTGCATTATCTTCCACACTTGAATCCCTTGCCCCTTTGTCCTATCACCAATCATGCCTTGCAAATTCTAATTTCGGATTGCTGTCACCACCCACTGCTTTATTTCCTATTCATGTGCTGCTGAATGGGGCAAGGGGAAAATCATGAAATCATGCTGACTGAATTCACTACAAATTTATGTTATATAATCTCAACTGGGCTCTTACTGCAGCAAGACTATTTTGTTTACACCTCCCTACTCACCATACTATCCCACTCACCACAGCAGCTGTTCCAAACCTTTTCATCTTTCCTTGAGCCCTCCACACATCTTCCTCTCTTCCCCTAACCCATCAGCTAAGGACCTATATTCATATTTCACTGAATATGTTAGGACATTGGCTAAGAGTTTTCTCTTCTCCCCTCCTCATCTCACATCTTTCAGATCTCTTCCTCTACTATCTTCTCCTTCCCCCCTGTCTGGGGAAGAAGTGATATTTCTCCTTGCCAAGGCCAGTCCCTCTATATGTACCCTTGATCCCATGCTGCCTTTCTCTCCTCCTTTGCAGATTGCCCCTCCTCACTATTGCCCCCTTTCTCTCTCGAATCTTCAAAATTTCCCTGTCTACCCGCTCTTTTATAACACACTTTCATCTCCCCTTCAAAAACCCTTGCTTGATTTGATTATTCCCATTAACCATCATTCAAAGTCTCTCTGGTTTTCTGCTGAGCTCTAGAAGGTGATTTACATTAGTTGCCTCCACCTCCTTTTCTCCCCTGAAGTCTGGCTTCCAGCCTTATCACTGAGTTGAAATTGCTCTCTCCAGAGTTCTTAATGGTTTTGAAATTGCTGGCTAATGGCCTTTTCTCAATCCTCACCCTTCTCTCTGCATCCTTCCACACTGCTGCTTATCATCCATCTCCTGCTGGGTAGTCTTCCCTCTCTAAGACTGTTCTTTCTTGGTTCTCTTCTTATCTGTGCGACCACTTCTTAGTCTCCTTTGCTGACCTTCATTCAGGTCACACTAATTGTGGTTGCCTCCCAAGGCTCTGCCCTGGGCCATCTTCTCTTCTCCCTCTACACTATCTTTCCTCTATCTCCGATTATCATCTCTACGCATGACTCCTAGATCTACATATCCAGCCGATGTCTCTTTCTTAAGCTAGTCAGTTCCATCATTCAGTATTTTTTGGACATCTTGAACTGGATGTCCCAAAGTCAGCTCAAATTAATACGTCCAAAATAGAGCTTTCCCCCCCAAACCTTCCCATCTTCTCAGTCTTACCCAGGCTCCTAACTCTGATGTCATTCTTGACTCCTCTCTTACACTTATTGCATATATCCAACCAATTGCTGAGTCTTGTCATTTCTACCTTCACATCTCCCATATTCATTCCCCTCTCTCCACTCACACTGCCACACCCTCAGTACAGGCCCTTATCACTTTATGCTGGAATCATTGCCTTATAATTCGTTCCCCTAATTCAAGCCTCTGCTCATTCCAACAAATCTGTAACTCAAACTGCTAAACTGATTTTCTTAATGCACAAGTATGAACATGTCACTACCACTTCCCAATAAGCCCCAGGGGCTCCCTGTTATCTCCAGGATTAAGTAGAAAGTCCTTTGGCATTGAAAGCCCTTCCCAACCTGGCCCCTTCCTACTTTCCCAGAACATTTGCCTCCTCTTCACTCAATCTACAAGCCAGCTACACCGGCCGACTTGTTCTTCCTAGCACAAACACCACGTCCCAGCTCCCTTTTTAATGTTTGTTTGCATGCCTGAATACTATCTCTCTTTCCCTTTTCTTAACTTCCTTTGAAGACACAGCTCAAATCCCACTTTCTGCAGGAGACTTTCCCCAATTCCCCTCCACCCCATCCCACCCCACCCCACCCCACCCCCACCCCTGCCCAGGGTGTACCTACTGCCTTTCTTGTGAGATTATTTTCCATCGAATCTGTACTTATATTGCATATACATAATCATTTACATGATGTCTCCCCAATTAGAACCCGAGCTCCTTGAGGGTAGGGACTGTTTTTGCCTTTGTATTGTATAGCATTTAGCGTGGTGCCGGGCACACAGAAAGTGCTTAATAAATGCTCGTTGATTGATTGATTTACAACATCCCCAGCAAGAGATCACCCAGCCTCCACTCGAAGACCTCAATGATGGGGAACTCACTACCGCTTAAGGTAACACATGCCACTTTGGTACAGCTCATGCTGTGAGGAAGTTTTTCATTATTTCCAGCTTAAACCTGCCCCTCTAAATATCTCCCAATTTCTCCTGATTCTGCTGAATGGGGCCAAGCAAAATTCAGTCCTTCTTTACATGTGACAGTCCTTCAGATACTTGAAGAGTGACCACATCCCATCTAGGTCTTCTCTTCTCTAGGCTAAATGTCCTCAGTTCCATCCTTAGTTTGGGGTTATGTGCTATATAAATACTAGCTGTTGTCGTTGTTGTTGTTATTATTATTACTGTTATTATTGTTGTTGTTATCTGTGTGTCCCCGGGTATTTGCTTAACCTCCAGCATTCACACTTTCCTTAACTGTAAAATGAGAAGTTGGACTAGAATACCATTTAAATAGCATTTCAAGGTTTGCAGAGCACTTTACAAATATCTCACTTGATTTTCACAACAACCTTGGGAGATAGGTGCTGTTATTATGCCCGTTTTACATTTGAGGAAACTGAGGTTAAGTGACTTGCCAAGCCATACCTCTAGTAAGTATCTGAGGCTGGATTTGAACTCAAGTCTTTCTGACTTCAGGTCAAAGGTCCCTTCTAGCTCTACGTCTATGCTCTTCTGACATCTCTAAGGTCCCTTCTAGCTCTAACATGCTGTGAACCTCTGAAATAAACCCCAAGTTTCGTCTACAAACCTTGTTTCCTGATCTTCTGTGGCCACTGAAGACCTATTGAGGAGGCAAAAGAAATGACAGTGAAGTGATCACTCTGTGTATCACCAGTTCTTCAATACAAAAAGGGTCTGAGATCTCCAGGTGGGCCCCCCTAGAGCTCTCCACCAACCAAGATGCCATCCCTCTATGCCTTTGTAGACAATTCTCCTTTACTTGTGGTTGACAAAGTCCATCAGCTGGTGACCATCCTTGTGGCCGAGGATGTCATGTCCCCATGTCTAGTAAGGAGGGAGGGTCCCTCTGGAGGCAGGCACATTATCTCTGGTTGGGCTCATACTTATAGCCTGTCATGCAAAGCAGCACTGACCAGAGTCTGTGCCCCGTTGGCATAGCCTGGTAGAACCCAGGCTCCCCTCCACACCCTGACACATGAGGAGATAGATGGTCAGGTTGCAAGACGCCTAACAAACTCTGGGTTTCAACTCCACAAAAGGTTACTCAGCACCTACCTACTAAGACCACTACATATGTGAGGTGCTGCAGATACAGAAGAGAAAAACGAAGCAGCTTCTGCCCTCAAGGAACTTACATTTTACTGGTGGGGAAGGGGATTCACCATTGATACAACGAGTAAATATAAGATCATTAGAGGAAAAGAGAGCACTAAGGGGTGGGGAAGTCAAGGAAGTCTTCCTGCCAGAGGTGGTGTCTGAGGTGAGCCCTGAAGGAAGAGAATTCTGAGACGCAACATGTTTCATTTCAGGCATGGGAAAGGCTGATTGTGCAAATGTTTGGAGGTAGGAGCTAGAATGGTCAGTTTGGATGGAATGGAATGTGCATGAAGGGAAGCAATACAAAATAAGGCTGAAAAGGTAGGTGGAAGTTTTGCAAAAATTTAGTGGACGTGCACTTTTCTGGACTAAGACCATTGTATTTTGTTCTGGAAAATCAGAGAATGTCAGAGGGGCAAAGGACCTCAGAGCCCATTGGACCCAACCCATACCTGGACAAGTGTCCCTTTTACAACTTAATTTACCTTTTTTAAAAGTTAATTTTATTGATATTTTTTGTATTTACATCACCTCCACTTATGAATATATCCCTCTCTTCTCTCCTGCCCCTCCCCATAACCTTGTAACAAAGAATAAAAAAGAAAGAGGAAAAAAAGCAGAAAAATTAACCAACACACCACCTGAGTGTGGAAATATATGCAACGTTCCATACCTATAGACCCCTAGCTCTACAATCAAGGGAGGGAGGTGCATTTTCTCATTGCTGGGGTCATTTGGTCATGATAATCATATAACATTCAGTTTCATTTTGGGGGGAGGTATAAGATTAATTTTAAATAATCTATTATGTGTAGTTATAGAGTGTCTGCCATGACCTTCTGTTCCTCTCCATCCCTTCCCTTGAGGGATCTCACTCTGTGCTGACCTTCTAGATGGGTAAAGCTATTCGCCACCAAGGTCTGATGGAAAGAAACTAGGACTGAGGAAGACAGAATTTAGAACTGCAAGGACGTCCTTGTACATCCTTAGACATCCTACAGTCCAGCTGACTCATTTTAGAGCTCGGGAAACTGAGGCCTAAAGAAGGGAAGTGACTTGTCTAAGGTCATGCAGTGGGTGAATTATAGAGTTGGCATTTGAACAAACATCTTCTGACTCTAAAGTCATGGTGCTGTTCATTATGCCATGCTGCTTCTTGTGACTCTGAGTTACAAAACCCAGATCTTCCACTTGTCAGCTGTGTGACCTCAGTCAAATGATTGAACTATCACGAGCCTCAGTTTCCCCATCTGTAAAATGGAGAGAATGATCCTTGCCTGACTAGCTTCACAGGGTATGCTGGGAAGAAAGTGATTTTTAAACCTCAAAATGCCATAGAAATGAGAACTATTTACTGTTATCAGATATTGTACCACAATCAATTATTTACCTCTCCTCCACTGCCTCTGGCTTTTCTTCTGACCTGTAAGGAACCAAGCGCATTTGTGATCGCAGGGACTCAGAGACTGAGGGGCTTAAAATAGCCTCAGAAGGCACCTAGGCTGTGAGCTGAATAGGAGCCCTTCTCCCCTATTATACTTCTCCAACATGTGGTTATCCAGCCTCCTCCTGAAGGTCTCTGCTTGTCATGTCCCCCAGCGCCCATCTCAGCCCCTCCCAAGGGTACTTTCCTCTGAAAACAGAAACCAGGAAGAGTTCCTATTCCCATAAGAATTATACTGGCCCAAACCGGATCTTATAACTTTTCATCATGGCTCACCCCATAGTGTGTTTGGGATCCAACTGACCCCATGCATGTTCTCTCCGGTCTCTGTTCCTCTTAGGGTATTCCTCCAAAATACCATGGCTTCTCAGTTCTTGTTAGCATTCATACTCACTCTTAGGTCATACTCTATGCTCCCATCCCAAGTGTCAAATGTGCATTCAATCCCAAGTTGATTATGTATACTTGTTTGCTCTGATTCTTTCATTGTCTAAACCCACATGCACACCTACAACACGTTCTTGCTATGGCTTTCATAGTTCCTTGGCAAATCTTCCAAATTAATCAATATCTATTTTTATATCAAATCAATCAATAAACATTTGTTAATCATTTACTATGTGCCAAGCACTGTGCTAAGTACTAGGGACACAAAATGAGGCTCCCTCAAGGAGCTTACAATCCAATGGAGAAGACAAAATACAAACAACTCTATACAAAGTTAGCTATATACAGGATAAATATGAAGTAATTAAAATGTGGAAAGCGGAATTAAGAGGGGTTAGGGAAGGCTTCCTGCAGAAGGTGGGATTTTAACTGGGACTTAAAGGAAGCCAAGGAGGTCAGTAGTCAGAGTGGAGGAGAGAGAGCATTCCAGGTATGGGGGGCAGCTGGAGAAAATGCCCAGAGCTGAGAGATGGAGTGTCTTGTTTGTGGAACAATCAGAAGGTCCGAGTCACTGGATCGAAGAATTAAAGATTAAGGTACGAGAATATTGGAAAGGTAGGAGGGGGCTAGGTTATTAAGGCTTTGAATGTTAAACAGAGGATTTGTATTTGATCCTGGAGGCAATAGGAAGCCACCTGAGTTTATTGAGTAGGGGGTGACCTGGTCAACCTGTATGTACTTTAGGAAAATCACAGTCCTGTACAGAGGATGGATTGGAGTAGGGAGAGACTCACCAGTTATTGCAGTAATCAAGGCATGAGGTGATGAGGGCCTGCACTAGACTATTGGCAGTGTAGAGGAGAGAAGGGGTATATATGAATCTATTGATCAGTCTGTCTGTCTGTCTGTCTGTCTATCTATCTATCTATCTATCTATCTATCTATCTATCTAATCTGGTGTCCCAAAAGTCCTAATGCAATTTAAGCCTTTTTTTTCCTCTTTTTTTTTTTAAGGCAATTGGGGTTAAGTGACTTGCCCAGGCTCACACAGCTAGTAAGTGTCAAGTGTTTGGTCTGAGGCTGGATTTGAACTCAGGTCATCCTGACTTCAAGGCCGGTGGTCTATCCACTGCACCACCTAACTGCCCCAATTTAAACCTTTTAATAACAGAAAACTACACTAAGACTTTTAGGACACCCTGTATACATGTTATACATACACATATATGTGCACAAGCATACATATGTAGTAGACATGTGTTTGTGTGTGTATATGCATGTGCATGCACATGCAAAGTCGATAAAAATGTTACTAGCATGGAACCAAGAACAGACCCCTGGCACCCTCAATGAGGTCGCCCTCCAATCTGACCTCAACCTATTCTTGATAACTCTTAGAGTCTGGTCAAATAAGTAGCTCTGAATCAGATATCTGGGTATGTCCATCTTTTTCATAAGAAAATTTTCCCTGAGATACTCTGTCAAACTGTTGACTAAGTTAAGCTTCTGACATTTCCAAACCCTGCCCAAAATGGCAGTGGGGTTAGTCTGTCATTCGTCAATCTGTGCTGGTTCTTAATCGTCACTGTTTCCATTTGTAAGTCCTCACATCAGGATGCCAAGGTGAGTCCGCTGGGGGAGACTTCACTCTCGTCTCTTTCCTAGAAAATCAAGAAACTTTCCTGTCTCCAGTCCTGTTGCATTGTTGGCTGCATCTCAGCAGCCACTTTCACTACTTTCAGTTTCCTAGGATGTAGCTGGTCCAGTCCTGATGACTTGAACTCACTGAGGGCAACATAGTCAGGCCTAGAGCCTGCATGGTACATCCTAATATATACACGCCTTTGGAGGGCAGCTGGATACTCTCTCCTCATTGGGTTTCAATTCTCTATTGACAATATTTGTTTCATCACTCTCAATCTTAAGTCCTTCTCTTTGGCAGAGAAAACAGAAGTTAAACAGCAAATCAAATTATGTTTCTAAAGTACTTAGCATAGTGCCTGGCACATTGTAGGTGCTTAATAAATCCTTATTCCCTAAATAAGCATCGAATGGGTCTCCCTTCTTTTTCATTGATCCTCCTACTCCAAGTGTGATTCTATCCTTTCTTGATCTTCTTGTTGGCTCTGACAAAACTAAAAACAATAGCAACAAAAAACTGAACACTGCCTTTTTTTGGTTCTTACAGGAGTTTCATAATCTCTAGCAATATTTTCAAGGTTCCTTCTGACAGTGTTATTTGTCCCCACATAAATCATTAGAAGCAATTAGTGGTCACCTGGTTTGACAAGTTTTGGGAGGCCCTTCTATTACATGCAAGATACATGCTGACCTTTTTAATTGTTCATATCAGGTCATCAAACATGAGCCTCAGTACCTATTGGCAAAATGTTTTCATCCACCACTACTCATCTTTTCTTCCTCTGCCTCTCTCTCCTGGTACCACCTATTGATTCACAGCAAAGCAGATGCTTTCTCTTTAGAGAATCTAGCTTTTCCATCTACAGCAGGGGTATCATGAAATCCTTTATCAGTCTGGTGAAACCTATGGATCCCTTCTCAGAATAATATTTTTAAGTACATGAAGTAAAATGCAAAGGAAACCAATTCTATTGGCACATGGTTATCAATATATACATATATATGTGTGTGTATGTGTGTGTGTGTGTGTGTGTGTGTGTGTGTGTGTGTATGTGTGTGTGTGTGTGTGTGTGTATGTACAGGCTGCTAGGTGGCTTGGAGTCAGAAAGCTTTATCTTCCTGAATTCAAATCTGGCCTCAGACACTTACTACCCTGGGGAAGTCATTTAACTCTGTTTGTCTCAGTTTCTTCATCTGGAGAAGGAAATGGCAAACTACTCCAGTATCTTTGTTAAGAAAACCCCAAATGAGGTCATGAAGGGTAGGATACAACTGGAAATAACTGAACAACGATATATGTATATATGTGATACACACATATATATACATATGTGGATACATACCTGTATCTATCTATCTATCTATCTATCTATCTATCTATCTATCTATCTATCTATCCCAATTTAATGTACTCCAAGTTAAGAATCTCTAATTTACAGGAGGGGCCTCATCTCAATTACTCAGCTCCAAGTGTTCAGTGGTCCTTCTTCCTTCATTCTGTATGTCTTATTCACCCATTGTTCAACCAAACTCTTCATGTGGCTCAGAATGTCAGATCCCCTTTTCCCCTTATTTTTACATTGAAGACCTCTTCCATTTTCCTGATAACGTAGTGGATTCCAGGATTTTGTGAATCTGCTTTACGCTCATTCCATTGGTAGTGGAGCTATAGTATGTTGGTTACTAGATTCCAATATGGCCACCAACTCTTCCCCAAACTCCTCCTGCTCACATGTACAAAAGTGTCACATACCTTTCTCTCCTGGCCTTGATTCTTTCTTCTTCATATCTGAAAGAAAGAAAGAAAAAGAATAAGACATAGCTCATAGCTGTAAGCAACAACATGAAGAGAAGTCCTACATCCTTCTGTTCTGGAACATATTAGGTGCCCTTAGGTAGAAAGTGTAGAATCAATTGTTTTCATATCCTAATAAGATTAAAATATACAGTAAAACTTTTGCATCCAGTATTGCTCATGTTAGTATAGTCAGACAGGCAGGGCAGCTATTAGTTGTACTAACTAATGAAGATGGTTTCTTGGTTCAATGCTGCATGGCTAGCATAGACAAAGACAGGGAGATACAGAAATTCTGGGCTGGTGCTCCCTAAACTGGTCTTTATATTGTGGTCATAGAGCTGATTGCCTTGACAAGAGGGAGAGAAAGAAACCCAGGTGAGGCCTCTGTGTGCAACTGTTGGGGATCTGGTTACATGGGCAATCTGTTTTTCTTGTATGGTGCGTGAACCATGGAAGCACCATGAAGTTGTAGGCACAAAGAACAGCCCAGATGAAGATGATTCTTTTTTTTTGACTAGCAAAAACGTCCTTTTAGTTTTGATCTTTGCAGAAGCATTTCCCCTGATAGTCTTAGGAAAAATGAAGGTAAATTAAATGTACAGAGGGGGAAGATGAAAATAATTCTGTCAGAAGGAGAGCAATGTTGGTGACCTTGACAATTTTTCTGAGCCCTTCCTCATTCACAGGGTGCAGGACCCTGGCTGTCAGATGTTGAAAGACATTTGGAATTGAAAGTACTAGACATAACGAAATCAAGGGGACCTGGGGATGGCTTGTGGTCCAATAGCTTTACTCCCTTTCATGTACTCTGGGATCCAGAAGGCCACATTGGCCTTCTTGGTATTCCTTGCACACAACACTCCACCTTCCAATTCTGTGCATTTTTGTTTTTTGTTTTTGTTTTTTTGGCTAGGCAATGGGGTTAAGTGACTTGCCCAGGGTCACACAGCTAGTAAGTGTTATGTGTCGGAGGCTGGATTTGAACTCAGGTCCTCCTGAATCCAGGGCCGGTGTTTTCTCTGCTGCGCCACCTCACTGCCCTAATTCTGTGCATTTTCACTGGCTGATCTCCGTGCCTGCAATGTTGTCCCTCCTCATGGCAGAACGCCGTCTTCCTTCCAGAGTCAGCTCAAATCCTGCCTTCTGCAGGAGGCCTTTCCTAGCCTACCCACTGCTAGTGCTTTTCCTCTGGGATTACCTCCTATTTACACTGTACGTATCTCATTTGCAAATAGTTATTTTAATGATGTCCTCCCCAGTAGCATGTGGACTCCTTAAGCACAGGGACTTTTTTCTCTTTTTCTTTCTTTGTATTTCTAGTGCTTAGCACAGTGCCTGATACTTATTAAGTGTTTAATAAATGCTTGTTCACTAACAGCAGTCTAACCTGAATAGTTTTAACATTCTGAGAGAGAGACGCACACAGGGCAGAATCATCAGGTCTTGCTGTGAGAAGGGATTGGGGCTTTCAAGCCGATGAGGCAGAAATGGACTAAGGGTGACAGTTCCAGAGTCAAATTGTGACTTGTTATAAGGGCAAATATTGTAGCAATCAGGGCTGTCTAAAAGTGGAATGGACTGTTTCAGGAGAGCTACATTTCCCATCATTGTGACTGCTAGATGACCATGTTGCTGAATGTCAAGGCCTTCTGATGTTTCTTCTAACCCTGAGATCCCATGGTCCCAATTCTGATTCCTAGAGCTACAAAACCCACTCATTCCTTCTGTATGGTGGCCCTTTAAATATATAGACAGGGATCATGGGTGTTGCCCTCTCCCTTCAACTAAATCTTCCCTTCTCCAATTTAAGTACCTTTAGTTCTTTCAACCATTTATCATAAGACATAGTTTCCAGATGCCTCTTCATCATAGTTCTTTCCTTTGAATGCTTACCAGTTCTAAAGAATTTATTTGTATAGACTTCAAAGGATCTGTTATTTCATTGTTACGGGAAATGCCACCACTAACCCAGATTGCAGCCCTCTACATCCCTTATCAGATAGTTTCCTGAGTTTCTACACACACACACACACACACACACACACACACACACACACACACAAATTCATCACCTGGTGGCCAGCATTCTGGTGGTGAAAGTCACTGGCCCTTCTGACAAGAGATACGTCAGTCATTCATGAGGCGCCCTACATGAAGTCTTTCTCAGTTAGTGGGACCTGTCCCAGCTTGAGTTCCATTGGTACAACTTTTGAAAGACTAGAATCCCCCTCCAGCCCTTAAGGAGGAATGGGAGGGAGCTGAGCAGAAGATTTTGCATTTGATGTGTGGTTCCCAGGAGGGGACACAGTGCTTCTGATGTGCTCTGAGTATATATGAGCAAGAGGCCTGAGAGGTCCTGATCGGGTCTGGTAAGCTAGGTCATGGAGAGGGTGCCCTGCAGGAGGTGGTTATTCCAGGCTTTGGGGAAGAACTGACACTTACTGGTGGATGCAGTCAGGAATCTGCACGTGCTCCATGGGGATGAGCTGTTCCAGCTCTTCCAGACTGTGTACATATTGGATCTTACTGATGAACTTTACACTAGGATGAAAATACAATAGAGACACAGGTGAAATTGATCACAGTTGGGTGGAGGTGAGTGATGAAAAGTGATCTGAGAGACACTCTAGGGATCATTTAGTCAGCAGTTCTTAACCTGGGGGTCCCTGAACATGGTTTTTTAAAAAAAGTTTTTATAAATGTATTCCATTATAATCAGTTTCCTTTGTAATTCTATGTATTTTATATTATGCATTTAAAAATATAATTCTAAGAAGGGGTCTGTACGTTCCACCAATGTATTCCATTATAATCAGTTTCCTTTGTAATTCTATATATTTTATATATGCATTTAAAAATATAATTCTAAGAAGGGGTCTGTAAGTTCCACCAATGTATTCCATTATAATCAGTTTCCTTTGTAATTCTATATATTTTATATTATGCATTTAAAAATACGATTCTGAGAAGGGGTCCATAAGTTCCACCAGATTGCCAAAGGGGAGCTTAGGACACGTTAAAAGGCTACAAACACATGATCTAGTCCAACTCCCTTGCTTTATTAATAAGGAAATTTAGGGGTAGAGAAGTGACTTGCCATAGTCACGTAGCTAGTGAGGGGCAGATAGAGAATGAATGAATGGACCTCAGCTGGAAGGGACCATAGAGGTCACCTATAGCATGCAGGCTATAGGTGACATCCTGATGGATGTCATCCAGCTATCACTTTTAATCATCTCCATCGCCTCCAGGGATGATGATGATAATTCTCTCTCTCTCTCTTCTCTCTCTCTCTCTCTCCTCTCTCTCTCTCTCTCTCTCTCTCTCTCTTTTGCTTTAAGATGTGTATACATTATCTTACAAGAGAGAAAGCTCTCACTAATGCCCAAGGGGGCTGATTCACTGAATCAAATCTGGAAGGAAGTTCAGAGACCATCTAGCCCACAATTCTCTCCTTTTACATATGGGGAAAGCGAGGCTCAGCCGGGAGATGAAAGAGCATGTTACAGTGGAAAGACCCCTATATTTGGAGTCAGAGGACCTGGGTTCAGATTTTGGATCTACCACTTCTTATCTGTGTGACCTTGTCTCTGTGGGCCTCAGTTTCCTTAACTGCAAAATAAAGGAGTTGGACTTGATGGCCTTTAGAATCCCATACATCTTTAAATCTGTGATTCTGAGAAACTTGTCCAAAGTCACACAATCAGTAAGCGGCAGAGCAGGGACTCGACTCTGAGGCCAGTGTTCTTTATACTTTACCACACTTCCATTGCTTTTCATTTCTGTGTGTCAGAGATCAGGGACCTCTGTTGGAGAGACTCCTCTTTGCTTCACCCCTCTGACCCACACTGGTCAGAAGGTTCCTTGCTTACCTGATGAAGGGCCTGGAGATGGCCAACACGGTTCGAATAAACCAAGAAGGGTGGACAATGATTAAGGATTTCAGGTTTTTCCGAAGCCTGTCAGGAAAGGCAAAAAGGAAAAAAAAGAAGATTCAATCAACAAACATTTCTTTGCCTTCTCCTTCCTTCCTTCCTTCCTTCCTTCCTTCCTTCCTTCCTTCCTTCCTTCCTTCCTTCCTTCCTTCCTCCCTTTTTCTTTCTTTCTTCCTTTCTTTTTTCTCTCTCTTTCCTTCCTTTCTCTCTCCCTTTCTCTCTCTCCCTCCTTCTTCCCTTCTTCCTCTCCCTTCGCTTTCCTTCCTTCCTTCCTTCCTTCCTTCCTTCCTTCCTTCCTTCCTTCCTTCCTTCCTTCCTTCCTTCCTATCAGGGATTCATAATTTTGTCCAGGCTGAAAGCACTCATTCACTGCCCCAGACCCTCTGCTGATCAGCACAGAAACTTTGAAATACTCTGTTTCTCACAGTTTGCCTCTCCTTAGGCAGAGTGATGGCCCCCTGCTCTTTGGGGCTCTATGTATTGGTGTCAGATTTAGTGCAGACATCCAATCAGCTTAGCCTGCAGAAGCTCAGAACTTCCAAGCTCAAGCTATCCACTAACCTCAGCCTCCTAGGTAGCAGGGATCAGAGGTATTTGCCAGCAAGCTCAGCAATTGATACATATTTCTTTAGTACCCACCTTGTATAAGATACAGCGCTGCTATGCACGGAGGCAGCTAAACAGTGCAGTGGATAGAGTGTTAGACCTGGAGTCAGTAAGAGTTCAAATTCTTCCTGCCTCTGATTCCTCATCTATAAAATGGGGGTAATAATAGCACGTACCTCCCAGGTTATTATGAGGATGAAATGAGATAACATTTGCAAAGTGTTTTGCAGACCTTAAAATGTTATATAAATGCTAGCTAATATTATTATTACAATGCTCTAGCTAATATAAAAATGATTAAACATTCAAATGCTGCCCTTGAATATGGACAAATCACCTAACCTCTCTGTCTCTCAGGCAACTCTTTTACACCTATCAATTATAGACAGATGGTGATCTGAGGTGGTAAAGGGAGTTTCCATACCAATGAAATCACACACCCTGGATGTATTGACACAATAATATCTAATACTAATGGACATAGAACGGCAGATCTAGAAGGGTCTTTAGAACATGGAAATGGCAGATCTAGAAGGGCTATTAGAGCTTAAGCGAGAGAATTTTAGAGTTGGGAGGTATTTTGGCAATCATCTAAAGCCGAAGTTATTTACATGAACCTTTTCTGTGTCATGGACACTTTTGGCAGTTTGGTGAAGCCAATGGGACCTTCTCAGAATAATGTTTTTAAATGCATAAAAGATCACAAAGAAAACTAAAAGTTAGTGAAAATAAAGATTATATTTTCCCATCCAAGTTTAAGGACCTTCCTCATTTAGATCAAGCCTAACCCTCTTGTTTTACAGATGGGGAAACTGAGTCACAGAGCAGGTAAGTGATTTGTTCAGGATCACATAAATGCCTCAGTGGAGCTAGTTGAGGCTTGAACCCCTTTTTGTTGACTCCAGATCCAGTGCTTTCCCCACAACATTGCATCACTTCCTCTGGTGCTCACCTTCTGTCAATCATCTGATAACATTTCTTCAGCCAGCCAATCCCTGGCATCCTCCGTCGTGGGGTGGCACCATTCAGGTACACAATCATATAATCTTCAGCCACAAGGAGCTCCAAACTGCTAATGACATACCTAGGAATCAAAGTCAGGAATCTGTGAGTATGGGGCCCCTGTTTTCTGTAACTAAATACCTGCCTCTGATGCTGGTTCAGCAGCCCCTCACCCTCACTGCCACTTTCCACTTGTGGCAGCCATTGGTGCCCTGTACTGTTGATGGGGATGGCCACTCTTTACCTAGCCTTGTTCTTCTTCTTCCTCTTTTTTTTTTTTTAGGTAATTGGGGTTAAGTGACTTGTCCAGGCTCACACAGCTAGTAAGTGTCAAGTGTTTGGTCTGAGGCCAGATTTGAACTCGGATCCTCCTGACTTCAGGGCCGGTGCTCTATCCACTGCACCACCTAGCTGCCCTATTCTTGCTCTGCTTGGCACTAACTCAGGATGCAACTAGCCATTTCCTCTCTTGTGCACACATGATAAGGGTGGATGGGTCCATAGCATGCACCAATTTGTATAAGTAGACAGAGAGGCAGAATTTTGTGGTGGCAAGGGAGTTGAGGAAACATGGATTCTTGTCCTGGCTTTACTGGGAATTTGCCGAGCATCCTTCGGCAAATATTTTTGCCTTCTTAGCTTCGGTTTCCTCCCTCAACAGTGAGGGAGGGAATAAACATTTATATAGCACTTAATATGTGTCAGGGACTGTGCTAAATGCTTTACAAACATTATCTTATTTGATCTTCACAACTACCTTGTGTGGTAGGTGCTGTTATTATCCCCACTTTTCCAGCAGAGGAAACTGAGGCAAACAGAGGTTAAGTGACTTGCCCAGGGTCACACGCTAGTAAGTGTCCGAGGCTGGATTTGAACTCAAGCCTTCCTATTTTGAGGCCCGTCTCTCCATCCACTGTACAATGTAGTTGCCTTTCATCAGTGAAAATACAGGGATCCGACCAGATGTTCCCAAGGTTCTTTCCAGCTCTGACATTCTAAGAGTACGATTTCCCTAGATGTTGTCTCCACTTTGGCCACCCATTTTTGCCACTAGAAGGACCTGTCATCCTGAGCGGCGCTCACTATTAAAGACAGCCTGATATTAATAAGGACCTATGTGCATTTGGGATGACTTTGGTGAATGTGGGAGCCATGGCTATGCTTTGTGGTCAGTGATAGGTCTACATACTGGTCAAGCACACTGCTGAGTCTGGATCCTCAGGTGAAGGGCCACTTTGTTCTCTTTTGTTTTTTTTGACTAGGCAATGAGGTTAAGTGACTTGCCCAGGGTCACACAGCTAGTAAGTGTTATGTGTCTGAGGCCGGATTTGAACTCAGGTTCTCCTGAATCCAGGGCCGGTGCTCTATCCACTGCGCCACCTAGCTGCCCCGAGGGCCACTTTATTCTCACACATAGAATGATAGAATTATTTTGGAAAGTAAGATTCAATTAAATGTAGCAAACATCTATTAAATGTCTACTATGTGCAAGGCCTTGGGCTTGGTTCTAAGGATAAAGAGATAAAAAGGAATGCTGCTGTTCCTGACCTCAGAGAGCTTATAGTCTAATGGGAAGGTGGGAAGGAATATGACATGTATGCAAATATGGTAGAATGTATGTAGATATACTAAGTGGTGCAGTGAATGGAATATAGGACTTGGAGTCAGGAAGGACTACGTTCAAATACTGTTTCAGGCTTTTTTCCAGCAGTGTGACCCTGGGCAAGTCACTTAACACTATCTCCCCTCAGTTTCCCAATCTATAAAATGAGGGTAATAATAACACCTACCACATGGGGATGCTGTGAGGATTAAATGAATAAAAGTTTGTAAAGTGCTTTGCAAATCTTAAAGTGCATATAATTCCTAGCTATTACTATTACTATTATTATTATCATTAGGCAAAAGGATTTGAGGAGGAAGATATCACTTTCATCTAGGGAGAGGTCAGGGAAAGCTCCCATCTAAGTTGGGCTTTGGGATAAGGGAGGGGGACTTCATCAGATGGAGGTCCTTAGAATTTATGACAAATCCCCCAAACACATCTTGCCCTCCATCTCCTCCACACCTTTGTTTACAAAGAGTTGGTCCTTTCCACCTCTAAAATTTGGTGATTCTGTCACACCCGTGCAGTCTTGGGGAAGTCACTTCTCACTTTTCACATCTTTAAAACGAAGGGCTTATACTAGATGACCTCTGGTCATCTTCCAGCTCTAAAGCCATGACTGTATGAAAGTCAGAGGCCCAAGTTTTCAAAATCCTTCACTGCTCCCTTCTTGTGCACAGAAGAAAAAGTTCAGACTCCTTTGTTTGACATTCAAGGACCTTTACAATCTGGCACCATCCTCTCTTTCCAATGTTATCTCATATGACTTCTTTCCAAATACTCCATGACTCAGCCACCTGGACAACTCTCTATTCCCTGAGCTCACCCTAGGCTTTCCTACCTTAGTGTCTTTTCTCATGCTGTTGTCATGTCTGCAATGCCCTCCTTTCTCTTCTTTGTCTGGTGACTTCCTAATCATCCTTTAAAGCCCAACTCAAGTAATAATGAGTCATGATTATGTAGCAATTTACATGTATACTTTCATTTGATCTTCTCAACAATCCTGTGACATGTCTTTTATTATGCATTTTTATACCCATTTAACAGACGAGGAAATTCAAGCTCAGAGAGATTAATTTAGTTGCCCATGGTCACCCAGAGAATGTCAGATGCAGACTTTGAACTCAGGTCTCACCTTACTCCAAATTCAGCCTGCTTATTATTACATCAGGCTGCCTCCTTTACTTAAAATGCCACCTGCCAAAGAAGCCACCTGAGGGTTGCCCCTTAGGTCCCTGAGGGCACTTTGGCACTTCTCTGTAACAGACTTATAATACTATAAAATGCAGCTATCTCTATGGGTCTTACTTCCCCAGGAGCACCATGAGTGTAGGGGCCATCCAAAGTTTCTATCTCCTTCCACACCCAGTGGAGTGTTCAGCATAAAAGTCACCTCCTTCCCAGATAAGTCTGCACCCCCATGCCAGAAGGCTTCCGTGAGGCTGAAAGCCTCTTCTGCCTGACCCAACTTACAAGAAGAGATTTTCCATTATGTAATGGTAATCTGGAGAGTTACTGTCTGGGAGATAGCAGGCTGCAAAGACGATGATAGCATTCAGACCTTCACCGTAGTACCCTGGGAGAAAAGCGGACAGAACATTACAGACTGAACACTATAGACAGACTCAATGCCCTTTGTGGTCCTTCCGACTCTTTGATTTGTATTAGTGCATGAATTTGAAGCAAGCCAGTACTTCCCTGCCTTCTTTCCCAACTCCCCAACTTGCGCATTTCTCAAATGTTTCACAAGTCCTCTCTTTCCCTCTGAAGTCCCTAAAACCCCCTCCACTTCCAACATTTCAAGGGTCCATGAGTTATGTTACTTAATGCTCCTCCGTCCTAGAGCTGACACGGACCTGAAGAAGCCTAGTTCTCTGCCTTCAGCTAGTGAAATGATTATTATTCCATTTAATTTTTATTATGGGCCTGATGCACACATCACAGTATCATTGTTATCCAAGGATCAGACTAAGTTCAGAGGGGCTGCAGGATCATATTTTTTGATACAATGACTCATGACAACTGTCTACTAAGGCATAGGGTGAAATGAAATTTGTGTTAGTGGAGATAGTATCTGCATCCGTGAAATCACAGAAATGTGAAGTATCTTTTTTTTTTCTTTTTTTGGTAAGGTACTTCTAATGTTTCAAAGTGCTTCACATAAAATATCAGGGCTTGCAATCACATGATGAGGATTGAGAGCATTTCCCAACTTGTACATTAATTTTTCACAAATTAAACTGCAGTATGTTATCTGCCTTAATTCATTAGAATTAGAAGGAAGAGGGAAATTCAGAGAGAGAATGATTCTAAGGGATGGGGGCTGAGCCAAGATAATTGAACCAATAACTCTATTTAAGATTAAAGCACGCATCATCCCTTTGATATGAACTTGGGAAGTAGCATGAGGGTAGAGGAAAGTAGCTTTTGGCTACTGAAAGCCAAAGGCAAATTAGCTCCTTTCCTTTAAAAGGAATAGTTCAGGCTTTGAGTGTCCTCTAGTGTCCATAGGAGATAACACACTAGATGATAACAGTTTTGTGTATTAAGCAGGTCAGAGAGAGAACAGCTCAAGCAGAGCACCACCTCGTGGCTGTCTTAGATGTTACACTCTAAATCATTCCAAATCTTTCTGCCCATGGATGTTTAAGCCAAAGTGTCACAGATGAAAATAAAGGAACCCAAAGGCTTCCTCAGCACTCACCTCCATGGGTCACCACCTTCATATAGGGTTTGATCATCTGGAGGTCAATTCGGTGCTCCTGCTCACCAATGATGACCGTTCTCCACAGGCGCCCATTAGCAGCACCTCCTTCTTCAGCTGCCCCATCCCCAAACAGATCTGCACTGTCACCAGGCATGTTCTTAGCAGTGGCCACAGGGGTGTCGTCTGAAAGCAGGACATGAAATGTCATTCTCAGGCAGCAGAGGATGAAAGAGTTCTCATTTGTCCTCAAGTCCATTGGTTCAGTGGAAATCCATGCAGTCCACAAATGTATCTATCAAACTCTATGCGCAGAGCACCATTTGGTGAATGCGAAATTTGGATAATTTCTGTCCTCATAGAACTTGAAATTTATTGATTGCTTTTTGTGTGCCTGGCACTGTAGAGATACAAAGATGATTCCTGCCCTGGAAGAACTTACCGTCATTTGGGGAAGATAAGACATCAACAGCAATAATAGCTCCCATTTCTATAGTGCTTTCAGTATTACAAAATGCATTTTCTACAACAACCCTAGTAACCAGTGCAGATTTTTTAAAATCTCCAGATTTTCCAGAAGAAGCCAAGGATTCCAGCAGTCAAGCGGTTAGCCCAAGATCACACAGTTATTCGATGGCAGAGCAGGGGCTCAAAGCCAGGTCGTCTGACTCTGCCGACTAGGATCAGACTGGGTGAGTTGGGAAGAGTCTTTGCTCTTCTGCCTTCCTTTTTCTTTGGGTAATGGGGCCAGAATCCTCCCCTCGCCTGTCCTCATATGAGCCATGGGAGCACATGGGGAATTCCCAGCGCAGATGATTGAATATGGGAAGCAAAGAAAGAGGGAGAAATATCTATGTCATCTAGAGATTAGAGCTGTTCAAAAGTGGAATGGGGCCCTTTGAGAGGGAGTGGGTCCCCCCTCCTTGGAGGTCACCAAGTACAGGCTGCCAGACCTTTTGTCAGGTATGTTATAGTGGTGATTCCTTTCTTCGTGGGTTGGATTAGGTGGTTATTGAAGTGCTTTCTGACTCTCAAATTCTGTGACATTGTGATTCTGTGACTCCAAGACAAGTGCTCTTTTTACTACCCAGCACTGTCGCCTTTATAAGACCAACGTAAATGTCACTTCTTCCAAGAAGTCTTCCCTGATCCAACCTTCTTTCTCTCTGCCTTCCTCCTTGGTAATGAAGACCCTTTACCCCTTTGACCTTATACAGCATTTCATTTGTGCTTCTCTGAGGCACTTATCATGTATTATTGCATTAGGATATCTGTGTATGTTACTTATATGTTAGAGTTAACCTGTGTTTTTCTTTTCCCTTTGCTGTATTGTAAGCTGCATGGGGGCAGGGACATTGTCTTTTCTAATTTTTCTACCTCTCCCAACACCTGGCACCCAGGGCTGTGGACAGAGTAGTTACTTGTTGAACTGAATGAGTTGAAAGAATTCTTTTTTCAGAGCAAAAACTATAGCCCTCCCCTGCCACAACAGACAAGTCATGAGATTCTGTGATCAAACGTTGGCGGCCAGTCTTTGGTGATGAGCGTTTTCTGGGCCGATCACTTAATCTCTCTGAGCCTCAGGCTCCTTCTCTGTGAAATGGAGAGAGGCAATCTGGTGTGATAGACAGGGTGCCGTCTTTGGAGTCAAGAGACCTAGGTTGTGAATTCTCGCTCAACTATTTAAAACTTGCCTTACTTGTGAGTCCCTGCCCTTTCCTGAGCCTCAGTTTCCTTTTCTGTAGAATGAGGAGGCTGGCCTGGGTGGCCTCCGAGATAATCTCCTAAGGGTATAGGACTAGTTGGTCTGTAAAGTCTCTTGTAGCTCCAACTGTAGGATCCATGGAGTTGCCACCTCCTGGACTTGTGAGGAAAGGTTTTGGACACTTTAATGCACTCTGGAAATAGCCTGCACTACAGACCTTTCTCCAGACTCCTTGACTCTGAATCATACAGCTTAGAACTCAATTGTGTGCTGCCTTGAGTTGTACCGTGTTGTTGTGTGTGTTAAGGTCACCTCCCAAACTAGACTGTGATCTTTGTGTGGCCAAGGACAGTGTCTCACATCATTTCTTTATCCCTGGTTGTATCTAGTGTAAGGCTAAGCATGTTCAATAAATGCTTGCTGGTTGTTTATTCCTTAGGCCAACCAAGGGTCTAGTGTAATCAGAGGGTGGTCACTTTCTTATGCATAAACTTAGTCATGTTTGTTCTCCGCTCAAAAACTTTCAGCATCTCTCTATTCAAACTCTTCTGGTTGGCATTCAAGGCCTGTGAAGCCTCTCATATCACCACCCTCCTACCTGATGGTCTAGCCAAACTAAAGGACCCTTGTTTATCTTCTGAGACTCTACTGACTGTTCCTAAATAAATCTGGAAAGGAATTTAGAGATCATTTAGTTTAGCACCATCACTTTATAGGTGAGAAAACTGAGGCCTAGGAAGGGGAAGTAACTTACGCAGTATCATACAAGTACTAGCTTAGAATTCGAACCCGAGTCTTCTGACTCCAGGCAGCTACATGGTACAGTGGATAGAGTGCCAGGCCTGAAGTCAGGAAGGCTCAGATACTTACTAGCTGTGTGACCCTGGGCAAGTCACTTATCTTCGGTTTCCTTATCCATAAAATGAGCTGGAGAAGGACCCACTCCAGTATCTCAGCTAAGATGGGATCACAGACTTGGACGTGGCTGAAAAGTGACTGAACAACAAGAAGTTCTGACTCCAAATCCCAAGCTCTTTCTACTTCATAATGCTGCCTCCCTATATTTGGGATGTTCTCCATCCTCCTTTTCACCTGTTGAATACGTACCCATCATTAAAGGCCAACCATCTCCTCCAGGAAGCCTTCCCTGATTTCCTCTCCCCCACCCCCATTAGTAACTACCTTTCTCCTCCAAACTTCACATAGCATTTTGTTTTGTGCCACTCTAATGCAAGTATAATATAATATTGTATATTATTCTTATCTGAATTTGTGTGTTATTCTCCTACTAGGCTCTAAGTGACAAGAAGAGGGCAGGAACTAGGACTTATCCAAACTTTGCATCTCCTCCAGCACTGAGCATAGGACTCTGTACACCATAGGTGATTAATGAATGTTTGTCCAACAAATTCAAATGGAATGAAGGGATGAATGTGCTTTGTTGCTATTTAAGCCTCCATGGGTGACCAGCTGTTTAGAACTGTCCTTAAGGTAGCTTTGTAAATAGCCACTTGTCAAAGGCTAAGGTTAGCCTGACTACTGACTGCTTCAGACTCTGGGAACTGGTATTTTTAGCTTCAAGGAGCCTGGTGGGTAGGGGGTGGGGGTGGGGCAGGACCTAAGTCAAGAGGGAGCTGGGAGATCTTTGTCTTTGGGACAGGGTAAAGAGTGACAGGTCATGAAAGAAGGGGAATTTGAGGATAGGCTGAGGCTGAATTCTACTTTTAAAATGGGCATCGTGGAAATCTCTGGGGCCAATCCTACCTCTGCCACTTACTAGCTTTGTGAACGGGGTAATGACTCATTTCACCTTGGCTTCCTCATCTGTAAAATGGGGATATAATTCTCCCTGCCTCATAAGGCAATTATGGGAAAGGGTTATGAAAAACAAACCTAGAGAAATGGAATTATTGTAACAACCATTAAAATCATCATATCCTGATGAGCTGGTTATAGAGACAAAAAAGGTCAGAGCTAGGAGGAGCCTTGCTTAGAACATAGAACACGATGGTTAGAGCCTTGAAAGTGGGAAGAGTCCTAGATTTGGAGTCTGAAGACCTAGATTTGAATCCTGACTCTGCGAAATCTGAACAAATCATGATTTTTTTGAGTCTCAGTTTTTTCAAAAGTAAAATGGGAGGGGCGAGGCAGGGACTAAATGGAGTGGACTAAATGATCTCAAAGGTCTCTTTTGCCAGAGTCTATGAATGTAAAACATTGAGCTGAACAGGACCTTAGAAGTTATCTTGTCCAATCCCATAATTATACATATGGGGAAACTGAGGCCCAGAGAGGTGAAACAATTTGTCTGTGGTCACATAGCTAACTTGTAGCAGAGGCCAAACTCAAACCCAGGTTGCTTGACTCCATTGCACCATGTTATCTCCCATTATTTATCGAGTGCTTACCTGATGCCTCTGAAATTTCACATTTTTGTCTTAGTCTGACCCAAGTTAAAGACCCAAGTAGAGATACTGCCAATGAGTCAATACTTGGACTAGCCATGGTATAGCCGAAGGAACATTGGAGCTGAAGTCAGAAGACCTGAATCTACTATTTATTCCTGCTGTGAACTTGTTCAAATCCTTTCCCTTCTTTGGGTCTCAGTTTCTTCAACTGTAAAATGCGGGCACTGGACTAGATGATATTTATGTTCCTCTCAGCTTTGAAATTCTATGTTTTAAGGTTTCTCTCAGCTCTAATATGACATTCTATATTCCAGGAGCCCTCTTTAATCTAGCATTTGGTGTTCTAAGTCCCTTTCAGCTCAGGAATTTTGTGTTTCTGTGTTTCTTGCTAACAGAGGTAAGCTTCTGAAGTTGCTTCTAACACACATATGGAGAACTTGAGGGAGGCCCAAAATGACACTCAGCCCCCACAATAATATAATTTGGTGGGATGATCCACTAAAGAAATTTTTTTTAAGGCAATTGGGGTTAAGTAACTTGCCTAGGGTCACACAGCTAGTAAGTATCAAGTGAAGAAATCTTGAGAAAACAAAATAAGGATTGAGACAGGTTCCAAGATGAGTTGGTTTTTCACAGTGCAGCCAGCAATAAGGAAATGAATTACTCTTTTAAGTCTTCAACCAGAGGCCTGGTTTATAGTCACTAGTGATAAAGGACATTTATGTGGGACAGCACTTTAAGGTTTGCTGAGTACTTTATTCTCATGATCTCTTTTGAGTCTCACAAGAACATTAGGAGATGAGCATTAGAATTATTATTCCCATTACAGATGAGGGAACTGAGCTTTAGATAGGCTGACTTTTCCACGGTCAAGCAGCTGGTATATTACAGAAGTCCATACGAACTTAGATCTCTCCTAACTCTAGCACCAACATTCTTGGAATTAAAGCCAAAATAACACTTGTAGGGCAAGACCATTACCTTCCCACTCTAGCTCATTGCCGTTTCCTAGGAATTCCAGGGAATCTGTCTCATCTGGAGTTTCGATGTCATCCACGTTGATGTCCAGGTCATCGGGGGTGTCCAGGAAATCATCGGACAAGACAGAGCCTTCACTTTGGTCCAGAGAAATGTTGATTTCAGGAGCAACAAGTGTCTTTCGTTTACGATAAGCTCCGTTGAAGTTTAAAGTGTTTGGAGGAGCTGGAGGTAAATTTAAAAATTCAATAAACATGTATTAAGGCTTTATTATGTGCAAGACGTGTTTAGTGCTGAGAATTAAAAACGGGAAACAACACAGTGCCTGCCCTCACGAAGCTTACTTTCTTCTGAGGGGGTAGATTTAGATGGGTATGCAAATAACTCTGATACAAGTTAGAAGAAGAAAAGAGAGTGCAAAGTACAAAGAGAAGCATGAGAAATTGGACGAGCGATCAACTTGCCCAAAGTAACAGCTAGTAAGTATTATATGTCTGAGGTCAGATTTGAACTCAGGTCCTCCTGACTGCAGGGCTAGTGCTCTATCCACTGTGCTACCGAGCTGCCCCAGGAGATTACTTCTAGCAAGGGGATTTGGGGAAGGCCCTGGGAGAAAGGTAGCACCTGAGTTGGCCATTGAAATGGAAGGAAAGGTGTTTTACGGGTGGAGATGAGGCCTGTTCCTGTTGGGGAGGAGGACAACCTGGACAGATTCACAGAGGCCAGAAGGGAGGGGCAGGACAACCACAGGGAAAAGTTAGTAGTAGTTTGATTAGAACATCCCATGTGTCTAATGAGCTATCAGTGAAGCTATGAATGAGTTCAACCATTAGGGAAAACAATTTGGAATTATGAAAATGAAGGTGCTAAAATGTGCATTACCCTCTAACCTAGAGATTCCACGACTAGGCCTATACCAGGGAGGTCTCTGATAAAAAAGAAAGGTTCCCTATATGCCAAAATATTCATAGCAGCACTTTTTGTGGTAGCAAAGGACTAGTAAGACATCCACTAATTGGGGAATGGTTAAATGAATTGGGGCATGTTGTTGTGATGGAAGAAATGCTGTGAGAAAGGATTAATATAATGAATCCAGACAGACATGGAAAGAAAGTTGATGCAAAATGAAGCGAGCAGAACCAAGAAAACAATACACATGCTGACTACCACAATGTAATGTAAATAGAGAGAAGGACATCTACAAAAACAATCTAAAATGAATGCTTTGGCTAAAGTGCAATTTTTTATATCTATTTTCTTTCCCTTCCACTTCCCACTTCTTTAGGGGAAAAAAAGAGAAAAGATAAAACAAATTCCTTATAACAAATATGCATAGTCAAGCAAATGAAAGTCCCTCACTGGCTGTATACAAAAGTGCCTATCTCATTCTGCACCCTAAATCCATAACCTTTCTGTAAGGGAAAGTGCATTTCATCCTCAGTTACCTGAAATCATGGCTGCTCGTTGTACTGATTATAATTTTGACAGTTTTCAAAGCTGTTTGTCATTACAATGCTGTTTTTAATGTATAGATTGTTTTCCTGGCTCTGCTCACTTAACTCTGCATCAGTTCGTAGAAGTCTTTCCGTGCTCTTTAGAAATCATCTATTTGAACATTTCTTAAAGATCAGTAGCATTCTATCACATTCGTAAACCACAACTTACTTAGCCCCTCTTCAATTGATGGGCATTCTTTTTCATTTTCAGCTTTTTGTAGCCCAGAAAGAGCAGCTATGAATGTTTTGGTAGATCTAGGAGCCTTTTCCTCTTTTTTGATCTTTTTCGGTTATAGGCTTGTCAGTAGTATAGCTGGGCCAAAGGACATGTACTGGTTAGAAATTTTTTGGGGGGTCTAAAATTTCATTAATTATTAAATTAACTAATTAATAATTAACCATTAAATTTTATGTTATTAGAGTCAGATGAACATATATTCAAGCCTGTCAGGATCTGTTTGTATCTCAAATCTGTCATCCAACATGTGAGCTATTCATTAATATTAGCCAGTTCCTCTCTTCTTTGATTTTTTTTAAATTCACTATTTATTTATTTTTTAAACAAGTCATTCATCAAATTTACCTCAAAGTGTTGTCAATTCAAAATTCAGCCCAGCTGTTATGTCATGTAGTTGCTAGGCCAAAGCTAGCTGTCTTACCGGTTCTTTTCTTGTATGTGGCTGTTATGTGTCAGGAAATACTTTGCCCCATGCTGTATCTGAACCTGCCTAGTAGATTACGTTCGAACAGGCTCCTGCTGCACTTCACAAATACTTATGGAGCCACTTGACAAAGGGGAAAGGGAACAAGATTCCTGGGTCATGCAGGTCCTTGGAGCTGATCAGTGGCAGATGCAAATTGGGAATAGGGGATAATTGGGATAGGACTACAGTTCTGTGGTAGCAACTGCCAAGTGCTGGGGATGTAAACAGAAAAAGCAAGACAGTCCCTGCTCTGAAGGAGCTCACACTCTAACTGGAGGAGACAGCACATAAAAGAAAGTTCAGCTGCAGGGCATACGGAAAGACCCTGAAGGTGCCTTGGCAGCCTAGACAGGAGGTCACAGATCTGTTAATGGGATATTGGGCAGAGCTCCTCAAGAAAATCCATGGGACTAATTATCAGCACCTGTGGTTCAATAATTCTCTCAATGGTAGGACTGTTCTGTTAGGCATAGGGGTAGCAGCTCTGTGAGGAGGATCACTTCCTGGGGTATAGAGGGAAGAGCACTGATCTTGAAGTCTGAGGACCTGGATTTGGATCCTACCTCTTATTCTACCCTCAGGAGGGGAAGGGACTTATCCAAGGTCATAGGGCAAGTTGGTGGCAGAGCCAGGACTCAGACCCCAGTGTCCTGACATTCAGTCTCCTAGGATTACAAATTGACCAAAATTCATTTCCATCATTGACAAAACTCATAAATCAGTGTTCCTGGCAAACCCAGATGAGCAAACTGAGGTAGATACTTACAGGATGTGTCTTCAATGGGGCTTCCAAGGGTGTCCATCCCTGTCTCTTCTGGGAGAGGTCTGTCAGACCAGCCCAGGAAGCATCAATCATGGCCAGCAGTCAGAGCAAAGGGCAGAGCCAGCAGGATGTGTTGAACAAAGCAAGTTCAGAAAGGCGCATTCGGGGAAGGAAAGAAATAACATTTTCTATCATCAGTCAGTGTTCAGTCAAAGTTCGCTCAATTCTCAATTGGCTTGAAATGTCATAGCAGTATAGACCATACAAGTTCAGAAGGATCTTCTAACTTTAGCTCATTAGCTGAGCCCTGCTGTTTTTAAAGAGTGAGCATCTCAGTGTCTGAAGGGCTATTAGGGAGGGTTCAGTCTCACCCATACTTAAGCGGGAATTCCCTCTACAACATCCCAAGCACCATCCAGCTTTTACTTGGACACTTCTAGTCAGAGACAACTTGGTACCTCCTCTGGGAAGTTCTTCCTCCTACTGAGTGAAAGTCATCTTCCCTGTAACTTCACAAAAGCTTTCAGCATTACAGGGAAACTCAGAAGGCAGCTAGTCTATCCCATATCTGAACAAAAATCCCCACTACAACATCCCCAGAAAGTAGTCATCTAGTCTTTACTTGAATACCTCTAGTGACAGAAAACTCAGTAACTTTCCCATTCTAGTGTGGGATAACTATGATTGTCAGGAAGTTCTTTCTAATGTCAATGCCAAATCTACCTTAATTTCTACCCCTTGCTCCTCGCTCTGTTCTCTGGGGCTGAGCAGGGAACACTCTCATCCCTCTTCCATGTGATGGCCTTCCAAATACTTGAATACAATTAACATGCCTCCCCAGATGGAAGAGGGAGTGTGTCTCCTCCCTCTTCCATATGTCTGTATCATGTAAACAAGTGTTTGTTTTCATATCCTATCTGCTGTTCTCTAATTGATTCTTGGGTGTGAATCTTACCTCCCCAGCTGGACTGTCACCTTCTCCAGGGCATGGACTCAGGGTCACCTGCTTATCTTGTATCCCCACTGAGCCTAGCACAGGGTTGGGCATGAAGGAAGGATTGCTGACAGATATCTTGGTATCGTATTCCAGGGTTTTGAAGCTTTGTCCGAACTCTTAAAAGTTCAAGGGGGATGTCATAGACAAGTCTAGCATTGATGGGGAAAGTTACAGGAAGAGAAGGTGCCAAAAAATCAGGCCACAAGGTACTCCTTAATTCCTTTGGTTGTGCTGCAGTGGATAGAACAAGGAATCTAGAGTGAGAGGAGCTGGGTTCAAAACTTACCTCTGGGTCATCAGCACTTGTGGGAACCTGGGCAAGTTGTTTAACGCCCTCCCCTCCCCTCAGTTTCCTTCAACGTAAAATAAGGGAGTTGGATTCAGACAGTTCCTGAGGCCCCTTCTGGCTCTCAATCCATAATCCCCCTGACAATCTTGTGAGGGAGGCAGGAAGAATCCTCACCCCGCTTTTACAGAAAAAGGCTCAGTTAAAGGGAAGTGTTTAGGAAGTGTTATGCTACACTCCCTCTCTGCCTCAGTTCAGAAGGGGAAATTGACGCCCAGGATAAATGACTTGTCCCAGGCCGCCAAGCCCCAAATACATTTAAACAGAGGCTATGCTACACAGTGCTGCATAGTGCAATATATATGCAGAAAGCACTGCAGGTTTGCAAAGAGCTTTACATATTTTATCTCATTTGGTCTTCTTAACAACCCTACAAGGTAGATTTTGTTATTGTTCCCATTTTACAGATGAGCAGACTGAGGCTGAGAGAGGTTAAATGATTGGCCCATGGTCACACACTCAGTATAGATCAGAGGGAGGTCTTGAAGCCATGTCTTCCTGACCCCAGGCCCAGAACTCTGTCCACTGTGCCATAGTATGTGGCCTCAGTTTAGAAGGTCTTGGCTCTGTGTATGTGTGTGTGTGTGTCTGTGTGTGTGTGCGCATGCACGTGCACATATGTATGGGCCTGAGTGATGCTCTTGTGGAAGAGATAAGGCCACAGTCATCCCTCACACTGACTAGAAGTAACTTAGAGACCTGAAGCTGGGAGTGTCAAGACCTGCCTGCTAAAGCCTAAAGAAATCTGTCAACCACTCTGGCTCTATCTTGCCCTTGTCCCCCTTTCTTCCCCTCTGTATTCCCACCCTGGCAACCTCTAGGGGTTCCATTAAGCTTTCCTTCATGTGCAGTAACAGCACTTGTGATAAAGGCTATTGCTTTCAACGTTAACTGGCCAGTCTTGCTTTTTTTTGCAAATGCCTCTGAGACCCCCATATGTAGACTGATCCATGCAAGTAGAAACAGGGGATGTGGGCATTAATTCCTTCAGACTGAGTCGGTCTTGACTCGATCATGAAGGAAATGTATCCAAAACAGATTTGGTCAAAAGGTCTCGATTATCAACCTCTGAGCAATTTAAATGGTCAAAAGTTAGCAGGAAAGACAAGCCCCTACCCAAGCAGAGACACCGATTTCAAGAGTTTTGTGCTTAGCCGTCCTTCTCCTCCTCCCACCGGAATTGGGATTCTGTCCCCAGGACCCTGGGCTGTGATGGGTGAGCTTCCACCTTACATGCCGAGAACCAGCAATCATGCCACTCCTAGACAACCGTCTTTCCAACTCTAACTACCCTTTATGTAATGTTTAACTTGTTAGAATGGAAGCTCTTTGAAGTCAGGGGTCAGCTTGCTTGCTTGTATTTGTATCTGTTTCGATAATATTAACGACTTAACATTTCTATGGTACATCAAGTTTTCAAAGTATTTCTTCACGGCGACCATGTGAGGTAGATGGTGTGAGTGTTACCACTCTCCACATTTGAAAAGCTGAGGCCCATAAGAGGGAAGTGACTTCCCCAGGCTCCCATAAGGCATAATAACAACAATGCCTCATATTTCTGTAGTGCTTTAAAGTTTACAAAGCGCTGCCCTCACTGCCAATGTCAAAGTATGGCCTCGCTACTCAGGATCTATAGGATGTTGGGCAATTCACTCACTGTTTGTGGACCTTGGTGTCAAGCCTGTAACACTGGTGCCATGTGAGGCTTGAACCAGATTAAAATGTAATGGGGGAAATGTTTACAGAATAAATAAAATTATAATAAAACACAGGTAACATAGCATTTAAAAACCAATCCAATATGTGTCCCACCAAGATCCTTATGTAAAGTTGGGTGCCCCTCATTTCTATATGAATTTGCACCACCAGCCTTTTATGGTCTTTATGATCTTTATCATCCTTTTCAGCTCTAAATCTATTCTTCTATAATTGCTTGGAGGTATCTTGTGAAGCTATAGGCATGGGAAAATCTTATCATGGAAACTAGAGTTGAAAGGAGTCTGAGACAACTGTAATAATTTTGTTGTTCAGTCAGTTTTCAGTACTGTCCAACTCTTCATGACCCCATTTGGGGGTTTTCTTGGCAAAGACATTGGAGTGGTGTGCCACTTCCTTCTCCAGCTCATTTTACAGATGAGGAAACTGAGGCAAACAGGGTTAAGTGACTTGCTCAGGGTCACACAGCTAGTAAGGATCTAAGGCCAGATTTGAACTCAGAAAGATGAGTCTTCCTGACTCCAGGCCTTATACTCTATCCACCATGCCCTCTAGCTGCCCTAATTGTAATAATAGCTACTATTTATATAACACTTTCAGGCTTACAAAGCACTTACAAATATCTCATTTTATTCTCATGACAATCCTGAGAGGAAGGTGCTTTTATTAGACCTATTTTATATATGAGTAAACTGAGGCAAACAGGGTTAAGTGACTTGCCCAGGGTCACACAACTAGTAAGTGTCTGAGGGCAGATTTGAACTTAGATCCAACTTAGATCCACTGGGCCACCTAGCTGCCTTAGTGATTGTCTAGTTCCCATTTTACTGATGAGAAAACTGAGGCTCAGAGAGCCGAAATGATTTGGCCAGGGTCACACAGCAAACAGTAACAATAGCTTGCATTTCTATAGGGCTTTAAAGTTTATAAAGTATGTTCCTCACAACTCAATGAGATAGCAACAATGGTACCAGTATTGTCACCTCCATTTTACAGGTGAGAAAACCGAGGTATAAGGAATGTGTGACTTGCTTCAGGTAACACAGAAAACCATGCTTTAGAAACTAGTATCCTCTATGAGTCAGTCAGTCAATAGCCATTTATTAAGCATTCACTATGTATGAAGGTGTTGGGAATGATACAAAGAAAAGAAAAAACCTTTCCTGACCTTAAGGAGATCACATTCTGATGGGACAAGCCAAAGATTTAGTCTTTGGGGGCCTGAGCTGTTGTTGGCCTGAATGAAACAAATTTTCCCACTCCAAACTTCTGGGTCTTAAAGTCAGCAGATACAGGTCCACATCCTGACTCTGCTGCTGATTACCTGTGTGACCTTGGGAAAATACTTTAATCTCTCTGGGCCTTAGTTTCCTAATCTGTAAAATGAAAGGGCCCAGATTAGATGATCTCCAAGGATCCTTTCAGCTCCAGATCTCTGATCTCTGATGCTATGAGGGGATGCTGATTATCCCTCCCCTCCCCCCAAGTCAGAGCACCTCCAAGTACCCCAGTGATTTCCACATTGCACCTGGAGGCTGACAATGTATGTCAGAGGGTTTTTTGAACACAGACTCTCTCAGGAAGTAAGAAAAAAATGTCTTCTTACCTTTTAAGAGGATGCTTAGGCAATCCTCCCTGTGGGATCTGGCTTCTCTTGTTTGGATCTGACTTGAATCCTGAGCCTCACTCCCCTTTCTGAATTTCCTGAATCAGGGGAGCTTGTTTAAGGCCCCAGCCCCACCATTTTGGTCTGTACTGGTCAGATGACGCTGAGCTTCACCCTATAAGATACTGGCTTTCTGGCAGTGAATGAGTTCTGACTAGGAAGATGCTGGGAACCGAGTGAGCATGCTCCAGCATCTTACTCCTCCCTCGGGCATCACTACAGCATCAATGCAGAATGGGAGAGGCACCAGCACACCAAGCCTTGAGCAGGAGGACAATCCTCCAGGGAAGAAGATGCTTATCCCTTCCTCTCTACTCAGCTCATTTACTTCTTAGGT